GTCCCTTGCTTGATTTTTAGACCTGAGTCACTTTTCAGTCCCAGAATCCACTCACTGATGGAGAGGCCACATCCCAAGGAGGAAGAGCCATGCAACACTATAGGGAGAATACCCATGATGATTCTCCCTGTCTTTCCCCAGGGGTACCTAGAGCTATTTACTTGGGCAGCTTTAAATGCAGAAATGTCATCATGGTTTCATTGTTAGAGAGGATGCATATGGGGACAAGGTTTTAAATGGATTACTGGTCCAAATCACTTATACAGTGGGTCCACTTAATCTGCAGACCCACTGTGTGATTTCACTAGTCTCCTAATATATAATTACAAAGATACACTTGGCAGTTGGCACATCCCCCACATTGGATCCCTTGCCTGTGGGAAGCTCCTGAAACTGCCCATCCGCAAGTCAGGGTAATAAATAAAAAATAATATATCCCAGGGGAATGGCAGAGAAAGCATGCCAGGGTGAATGTCCATTATTTCTCTCCTTAATTCACCACTTGAGTCCCTACAAAAACTAGACAGACCCTGGAAGGTGACAATGGACTATTGCAAACTCAACCAAGTAGTAGCCTCAATCTCAGCCATCCTACCAGATTGGTATATTTGCTACCGAAGACTAGGATGTGGCCTCAGGCACATGATTTGCAGCCACTGATCTGGTGGATGCATTATTTTCCACCCCTAACACATAAAAGGATCAGAAACAGTTTGCATGCACTTTGAGTGGAAATGGTATATGTTTTTCCTCAGGTCTCTGTTAACTCTTTTGAATTCTGTCATAGTAGAGTCCAAAAACATGCAGACAATCTGGATATCCCATAGAACATCACACTACTCCACTGTATCAATGACACCATGGTAATTGGACCAGATAACCAAGTTGCTAGCAAGTTGGAGCCTTAGCAAGACACAGTCTTGAGGGTAGAAGATAAGCACTGTAAAGATGCAGGGGATCCATGATATCAGTATCCTTTATAGGAACCAGGTGATCTAGGAGAGGGATTGGAAAGCTATGGCTGCATAGAATATGCCCTATAACCAGCTGACAGAGGAGGGAAATGCCTGAACATGGCTCACAAGTGGGTCAGCTCACTCTGTAAGTGCAGGTCAAAAATGGATAATGAATGTACTATAGCTCATCAAGGGTAGCCTTGTAAGATAGTCCTCAGCTTTAAGCTCTCTTTGGGGATGACCTCGGCTGAAATAAACTGCTACACCCGAACATCCTTCCTTCCAGGGCCAGCCTACACCCATGATCAACATGGGGATATAAAGAGCTGTCCTTGACATCTTAGCTCCAGAGCTCCCAGTAGGGTCAGCTGAGACCTTCATGAGGACTGTATCACAACCCACCTTCTCCCTCTGCCCAGCTCTGCTTCCTTCTCTCCCTTCCACAGTTGTGGATCCCTAGAGCACACTGTAATAAATATCCTGCAGGCTAATCTCCATCTGAAAGTCTGCTTCCTGGAGAACCCAAACTATAACACTCCCTACTCACCAAATACACACACACACACACACACACACACACGTGCATATACTATCACCTTTGATTACCCTACACTTGAGGACACTAAAGCATGCCCTGGAGATGTTATGGTAAGTTTAAAAGGCTCTGGAAATAGTCAAAATCTTTAGAAGGTGGCCTCAGGAGTTCATGGTCCCCCTGAGAGCAGCTCCACTCATTTCTGTGGCCATTGTGATTTCTGTCAGAGCAAACTCTCTTGAGGAGTCGGGTTGGAATGAGCACACCAAGCACCCTCAGCCAACAAGGACCCAAAGGAGTCCAGGAGAGCAGAGGCAAACCCATGAGAAGCCCACAGGGTTTCCCTGACCAGGAGAGTTCCTGCTACAGTGAGTCTGGGCATCTCTGCCTTCTACAGTGGGGAGCAGAGAAAAACTGAATGATGCTGAGAGACAGAGGATGAGAAATAGACAGGGATTGAGGCAGAATCAGGAAAATACTATTTCCCTCTGGAATCTAGAGCAATCTATCTGCTTTTTTCCTTCTTCCCAACCGTTCTTGCTCATCACTGGCTAGAAAGTCAAAAGATCAGCTTTGACTGGTAGGTAAACATAACCAATTTGGGAAAGTGGTTCAGGAGAGAGAAAAGATTTTTTTAAACTGGGAACAGTGAGGAGATATCTGGATATAGAAAGTGAACACCAGCACACTGGCTGCCCACTTGACCATCCACCTCACCTGGGTACTTATTTCAGCCTCCTTTTGGCTCCTTTGGCTCCAAAAATCATATAAACACAATATATCAGATTTCAGCCTAACATTTAAGTCTGGCTTTATATTTTATGGCCACCCTCTTTGATCTCTGGGCCAGTGTATATTATTATCCCATGGTTTTGAGGAACCAGATTATCAGTAAGTGGATAAGGGGAGTTTAGTAGAAAAGATACACACACACACACAAAATCCTCTTCCCTGACACATCCCAGACTTTTAGAACGATTCCCTTAGATTTTCACTTCCAAAACTTCCTTCCATTTTTGCCAAGTACTCAACCCAGATGAGACACAGGGGTATCCAACCTCACTTGATCACTTTAAATCTTCATCTCACGCTCCCCAGGCATCCCTTCACAAATAACTTATTTTTGCTGATGTATATTTTACAAGCCGTACTTATATGTTATGTTTCATTAGCTCTTTAGAATACCTAAAATCACTCAGTGCACAGGTGATAGAGGTCAAGTACACACCTCCACTTTGTGCTTCCAAGTCCAGTGCACTTTCTACCACCCTTGATTCAATACACACATAATGCACCGGCCACCCAAGACCAAACTGCCCCTTTTGTTGCCAATCGATCATGTATACTAGAATTTTCAAATTCTGCAATCTGTTCAACACAGAAAAAATAGATTTCCCATTGTAACAGCAAAGGTCTGTTTTTAATGTGGGACAAAAAATTTTAAGGAAAAAATGTGTGGGACATGTGTGTTTGATAAAATAGAAAACGATCAAGTTGGAAAAAAATAGATCCTGTGCATGATTGTTTCAGATATATATTATAGTTTTCAAAAATCTGAGAAGACACATAGTGGTTAAACCTTGAAATTCAGAATAGACCTGGGTTTGAAACTTGTTTCTGCCATTTACTTGATGTGTGAGTTTAGCAAATTATTGTTACTCTCTCTGTTTCCTCATCAGAAAAAAGTGGGAATTAATAATAGTTTATTTCTCATAAGTTTACAGTGAGGATTAAACAAATTTCCACCTGTATGAGATAAGAGCTTAATTATTGATTCACTCTCAGATTATTCAAAGCATGGACAAATACACCTTCTAGAAAAGCTTTGTAAATTCATATTAAGGTCAATTTGACCATTAGAGCATTAAAGTATGTGGGCTAGGGTTATTTTACTATTCAGATTCATTACTTTTGATAACATGTATAAATACCTAGTTGGGGAAAAAATCATTGGCACCAATGGTGATGGGGAAGAGAATACATCAAATATTTACTCTGTGGCATCAAATATTTATTCTGTTCCTGGAACCATTCTAAGTACTTTAAGCACATTATAACATGAAAACCTCAAAAAATATTATGGGAAAAATGTTAGTATAGCTATTCACAGATAAAACACTGAAATTTAAAGATATTTAATTACTTGCCTGATATTAACCAACTGGAAACTAGCCATTTAATTGTATGAACAAATTAGTAAATAGCCATTCTTTGAAATGTTATTAAAAACATGCCTATTGGGCGCCTGGGTGGCTCAGTTGGTTAAGCAACTGCCTTTGGCTCAGGTCATGATCCTGGAGTCCTGGGATAGAGTCCCGCATCGGGCTTCCTGCTCGGCAGGGAGTCTGCTTCTCCCTCTGACCCTCCCCCCTCTCATGTACTCTCTCTCATTCTCACTCTCTCAAATAAATAAATAAATCTTAAAAAAAAAAAAACATGCCTATCCAATATGCCCATTCTCAATGTCTAGATGAATAATTTAAAACACTTTGTAGGCATGAGGATATCTGAATCTATGTTGTTCATGGCAGCAAAGATTTAGAGGACATTTAGGGAAACATAGTAAGTCAAGTGAGCTGCATGCATACAATGGAAAGAGTTAGAAGAAAAGAACCAGAACATTGAAAGATATCCAAAGAATTATATAGAGAGGGAAAAAAAAACCAGAATGTGATATATGCCACGTATTATTGCAGTAATTATTGAAGTAAATGGAAGTAAAACATACCTAAACAAAACAATAATATCTTTTTCAACAATATATACATAACTAAATAAACAAATGGATGCTGGCATGGAAGGACATAAGCTTGCTTAATGGTTGGATATCCAAGATGTGGGAACATGATCTGACTTAGGAAATGAGAGGAAAAATAGGTAGAAAGTAAATTTAAGACAAGGATTTATATGGACTGATACTGATAGGTTGACCTTCACTAAGGAATATGAGCTTCTAAATAAGTACCTCTAAAGATAAACCAAGTATGACAGTAAAACTTTGTTGACCTGGGTTCATTATTCCTCTGATTTCCTTGTTGAATATTTCATCAAATCTCCTTTTTTGGAAAGGAGGTTCAAAGATAAAGCTTAGCATGACATAACTGAAATTTTGTTTTGATATAGACAGAGAAAAATGAAACCATCTAATCTAAAATAAATTCCCAACCCTACCTTTGTCAGTCTCTATCCTCTTATGTGGTTTATTTTTCTTTATAGAAGGCAGAACTATCTGATGATAGATAGATGATGATGATAGATACATGATAGATAGATAGATGGTTGGATAGATAGATGATAGATAGATAGATAGATAGATAGATAGATAGATAGATAGATAGATAACAGATCAATCCTCCATGCCAGGCTTGTCTCTGCCTTTTTCATAATGGTGTCCCTACTCCCAGAGAGTATTTTTCACAAAGTAGGTGCTCAGTAAACAATTATTTTTAAGATTTAATATTAAGCTGAATTAGTTAAACTTTGTTTCTAAAAGAAAATTCTTCTTCCAGATGTCCATGCTGTCAACACCAGAAACATGTGAAGTCAGCAAGCTGAGAAGGGAGGGCAGCATCAAGGACCACAAATCTAACAACTTGTCCACATGTTAGCTAAGGAGTGGAAAGTAAAGGAAAGCTTTATGGGTGGAAAGTAAAGGTAGGTAGAAACATACTTATTGGCTTATTTGTGATTACAGTTATGAAAGAAATGTGTGTGTGTTAAATGGTAAGATTCTCTGTTTAGTTGGCTCTGTGACCATGGAAAAAGTCAACCAAACCAGTAGTGTCTCTGAGTTCATCCTCTTGGGACTCTCCTCCCGGCCTGAAGACCAGAAGCCACTCTTTATCCTCTTCCTCACCATATACCTGGTCACCATAATAGGGAACCTACTCATCATCCTGGCCATCCACTCTGACTCCCAGCTCCAGAACCCCATGTATTTCTTCTTGAGTTTCCTGTCCTTCACTGACATTTGCTTTACAACAACCATTGTCCCCAGGATGCTAGTGAACTTCCTGTCAGAGAAGACCATCTCCTATGCTGGGTGTCTGACACAGATGTATTTCATTTATGCTCTGGGCAACACTGACAGCGGCCTTCTGGTGGTCATGGCCTTTGACCGCTATGTGGCCATCTGTGACCCCTTCCACTATGTCACCACCATGAACCACCACCGCTGTGTCCTGCTGGTGGCCTTTTCCTGTTCATTTTCTCACCTCCACTCACTCCTACATACACTCCTACTGAATCGTCTCAATTTCTGTGACTCCAGTATTATCCATCATTTCCTCTGTGACATCAACCCTCTGCTAAAATTGTCCTGCTCTTCCACATTTGTCAATGAAATTGTGATAATGTCAGAAGGTTCTGTTGTTTTGGTGACCCCCTTTCTGTGCATTACTTTCTCTTACATACGAATTTTCATCACAGTTCTCAAGATACCCTCAGCTGCTGGGAAACGCAAAGCCTTTTCCACCTGTGGGTCTCACCTCACTATGGTAACACTCTTTTATGGAAGCATCTTTTATGTCTATTTACAGCCCTTGTCCACCTACACTGTTAGAGATCACGTGGCAACACTTGCCTACACAGTTCTGTCCTCCATGCTAAATCCTTTTATCTATAGTCTGAAAAACAAAGACATGGAAAGGGGCCTGAGGAAGCTGATGGCCAGGAGGAAGTCCTAGCCAGAACCTCTGGGAGCATGTTCATGAGGGTCTCTGCTCCTCTGGACCCTGTTTCTGCTGGTCAGCAGGTGTAATCGTATCTGTCATGGATGTTGGGTTATATCAATGTTGTTACAGTTGCAGCCATCAACCACTGAGACTATTATGATTCAGTAATTGGCTCAAGGTCAACCAAGTTCCTGGGTTCCAGTTTTCACATATCTACCTCTCTCTTCTTCCTCTTCTCCAGGAAACCACATCTTTTTCATTCCCTCAACTGCTGTTGAAACCTCTGTTTTCCACAAAAATTTGTGGAACTAATTCATATCTATTCAATGACTTTGATTCCCTTAGTATCCTTCTTACTTTAATGAACTTTTGTAATCAGTTTTGCTAGCTTTTTGGAAGTCATTACAGTAATTTAGGAAAAGAAAGAGAGACAGAGACACAAAGATTGAGAGTTTCCTAAATTTGAAACTTCCACCAAAGAAAAGAATGTGTCTGGCCTGTCAGTTTATACAGGGATCATGCCTCTTCCTTCTTCTCTATTACTGACAGCAGGATATTCTGGTCTCTATAGTGAACACAAGCCCAACTCTTAGCCCCGATTAGCTAAGTGACTGAAATTCAACACACAACTGAACCTATGAACAGGCCAGTGTGCAAGGGCCGGAGTTGCCTCTGGGTCCTTACCCTGGTCATCTGGTGTTTGTCCTTCATAGGCAATTGCTCCTCTTCTGCCCTCTCTTAGCTTCAACTCCCCTTAGTAATCCCTCAATTTCTACCATCCCTACCGCTCTGAAGTCTGTCTGCTTCCCAGGGAGATTTATTGTAGGTACTTAGAATTATTCTCAGTATCTTTTGAAGAGAGAGTTAAAGCCCATATGTGAATGTTGAAGGCAGATATAACTAGGAGCTTCCAGAACCAAACATAGAGGCTCTGGGATGTAGAGTCATCTAGTGCTACCGGCCAGGACTTGTTTCTGTTTGCTTTTGTTTTCATTCTTTATTTTCTATTACTCTCTCAGGTATTTTAGACTTTGCTGTATTTTCTATCTTAATATTTTTGCCACTTACTATTCTGTATCATTTCCAGAGATATTACTCAGCAGCTCTCACATGGGGCCTGTGAACCTGAATTTTAATAAACACCTCCCCCCGCAGAGAAAACTAACATGGCCTTACATGAGAAGCTGAATGTTTGAAAATTTCTGATCATTCTTTATCTCAATGTTTGTATTTCTAGGACTCATGCCCTAAAGTAACAGTATATCAAATTATCAAACTGCATGTACACAGACACTTATTGATTACAGCATTGTTTGTAATAGTGAAAAATTAGAAACAGTCTAAATGCCCATCAGTAAGATAAATGATGGTTCAATTTTTCCATAGAAATAAATAATATGTGGTCATTATAAATAATGAGGCGTATCTCTATCACTGCCCTGAAAAGCCATTATGAATGAAGAGCAAGTTGCAAAATAGAATGCTTAAGAATAAACCTGGGTGCTACATGCAACTAATGAATCATTGAACACTACATCAAAAACTAATGATGTACTATATGGTGGTTAACTGAATATAATAAAAGAAAAGAATAAGCCTATTTTTAAAAAGAATAAGCCTATTAATAAATGATAAGATACTTAATAATAAATCTGTATTTTAACTATGTATGTGTATATAATGATTAAGTGATATTATATATTCAGTAAAGAAATCTCCCATTGAAAATGGTTAATTCTAGGGGATAACATGGAATAAGAAAGGAGATGATGTTTGCTTTTTAGCCTCTACATATCTGGAATATTTGAATTTGTTAAAATGGGACATATATTTTTTGTAGAACTAATCACTAAGTAAAATGTAACATAATTTATTGCTCTGTTATTCATATCATTGAATAACATGGAGTTTGCTGGGGATTCTCTCACCCTCTGCTCCTCCCCCTGCTCTCTCTCCCTCCCTCTCTCTCTCTCTCAAATAAATAAAATCTTTTTTAAAAAGTAATAATATTATGTCGTGGTAGGAAAAGGTTGATATAAAGGTGGTCAGATCACCAAATGGACCCTCTATTCAATGTCCTAATTCTTATTTTGGAGAAGCAGATAAAGAGGAGACACTCCATGTCTGAAGCATCTCGCCTCCAATCTATAGTTGCCTTTTATTACTATCAACACTTTGGCCTTGGAAGAGAAAATTTGATCATTTTTTTCCAAGAATGGGCATGGCCATAGACCTCTGACAATATCCCTTGAATAAGTCTGGGTGAGGTCCAATGATTTGCATTTCTAACAAGTCCCCAGGTAATGCTTATGTGCTGATTTAGAAACAATGCTTAATATCTAACAACCAGATATCAAGATCTCCTATGGACCTATGGTAACTAAAACTATATGGATATTGCTGAAGGACTAGACAAACAAGACAAATGCCATGGGTAGAGAGCCCAGAAACATATTCACAGACTGGTATACACTTGATTTATGAATGAGGCACTGGAGAGTATCTTTTCATAAATGGAGCTAAGACATTTGAGAAGTCACACAGAAAAACTATTTGGATCCCTATGAACACCATATGGAAAAACTAACCCCAGATGAATTCTAAACTTGCAGATGAAAACCAAAAACTATACCTTTATATAAAAGAATTAGAAGAATATCTTTGTCTCCTTGAAGTAGAAAAGTAATTCTTAAACAAGACATAGAAAGAATTCACCAAAAAAAAAGAATAGCAAATTGGACTGTGTTAAAATTAAATACTGATATCTGTTTGTCAAAAGATATTATAGAATAAAGACAAAAGATATTTGAAATTCATAAAACAAAACACTCAAATTAAGAATATATAAAGATCCCTGGAAATCAATAAGGAAAAAGAAGTGGGGGGGAAACTATGAAAAGGAAGTAAATAAACTTTTCACATATACATACACACATACACACACACACAAGAGGAAATCCAAATGACCAAATGTGATTACATTAAAAGATACTGAGTTTCATTCAAATTAAATCATAATGGGATCCCACTGCATACCCACCAGACAGAAAAAATTACAATTCAGACGTTAAATATCAGAGAGGAGGGGAGATGGCAGAAGAGTAGGGCCCCCTTGTTTCATCTGGTCCCTTGAATTCAGCTAGATATCTATCAGATCATTCTGAACACCTGTGAATTCAACCTGAGATCTAAGAAAAGAATTACTGCAATTCTACAAATAGAAAAGCGACCACTGGGGTGCCTGGGTGGCTCAGTCGTTAAGCGTCTGCCTTCAGCTCGGGTCATGATCCCAGGGTCCTGGGATCGAGCCCTGCATCGGGCTCCCTGCTCAGCGGGAAGCCTGCTTCTCCCTCTCCCACTCCCCCTGCTTGTGATTCCTCTCTTGCTATGTCTCTGTCTGTCAAATAAATAAATAAAATCTTTAAAAAAAAAGAAAAAGAAAAAGAAAAGTGACCACTTTTTGAAAGGTAGGAGGTGCACTGACGTGAATCTGAGGGGATACATTGGAAGACAAACCACAGTGGGAGGGAGCCTCTGTAAGCCTCTGTTTCCAGCTACCAGAAAGTGATTTAGCAGTGGAGCTCAAAATTGGAACTTTTAGAAGTGTGCTCCAGTGACAGATGTCCCTGCCTAAAAGATGTTCAGGTGGTGATGTGGGGCAGAATCTTAGGTGGGACAGTGTGGTCTCAGGATCCCTGGGGTCACAGAAAGAACAGGGGTCCCTAAGGGCAGCATTCCTAAGCATTGGAGAGGAGGAAGCTGGCTACAGTCAGTGAGCTTGGGGGTGGGCTCTCAGCTCGGTGTTGCCATAAACCACAAACTATGGCATGAATGGGCAACCACTCTCCAAGCAGGGTCCAGCAAGTGACAACTGCTGTGAGACCCTCCTCCTTCCCCCAGGAGGAGGACCACAGGTGTGTGCATGATCTGGAGATTGCTCCAAGAGCAGGGGCCCAGCAAGTGGCAGAACTGTGGTGAGACCTCCCTCCTTCCATGGGGAAGATCCACATTGGTGTGCACCACAGGAGTCTGCAGAGTTAGGCACACACAAAAGTGATTGACTGCTTTTTCCTGAGGGGGCCCTGAAGAGTGGGGGCCTATATCTTTCAGCTCCAGGGCTGGAGAATGGGGCGCCACCATTTTTACTTACTTGCTTACTTACTTACTTATTTATTTTCATCCTTTAAAGGGGCACAAAAAGCCTTCAGGGCACAAAAGCCACATATAGCAACCAGAAGCAGCTTATGCTGAGCCTGGTCCCCTGGCAAGGGGTTGTGCAACTCTGCCAGGCAAAGACACTTGAGAATCAGTGCAACAGGCCCCCCTCTTAGAAGACCAGCAGGAGGGCACCTGGGCGGCTCAGTTGGTTAAGCGACTGCCTTCGGCTCAGGTCATGATCCTGGAGTCCCTGGATCGAGTCCCGCATCGGGCTCCCTGCTCGGCAGGGAGCCTGCTTCTGCCTCTGACCCTCCCCCCTCTCATGTGCTCTCTCTCTTTCATTCTCTCTGTCTCGAATAAATAAATAAATAAAATCTTAAAAAAAAAAAAAAAGAAAAAAGAAGACCAGCAGGAACATCAGTTGAATACCAAGTTTAAGGATCACACAGAACTGAAAAACTCCTGCATTAGGGGAAAATAGTATGTAGAATTCAAGGATTTTTTCTCATGATTCTTTAGTCTTTCAGTTTAAAATTTTCTTTTTCATTTTTTTCTTTTTTTACTTTTTAACTACTTATTTTATCAACTCTTTTTTAAATCTTTTTTTAGTTTTTGTTTTTACATCTACATTTTATAGATATATTCTTCATTTTGGGGTTCCTTTCATTGAATTTAGTTTTATTCATATGTTTTTCTTTCATTACATTTTGGGATCTAGTGTCTTCTAACAAACAGACCAAAATACACCCAGGACAAAGTGTGTGATCCTGTTTTGTCCACCTATGAGACTATATTCTCTCTTTTTTCACTTTTTTTTCTTTTTTGGTTTCTGATCTCTTTGGATTTGTCTAGTGTATATTTTGCTAGAGTCATGGTTGATATTTTTTATTTTGTTCTCTCATTCATCTATTCTTCTCTGGACAAAATGACTTGAAGGAGAATTTCACAACAAAAGAAAGAACCAGAGGTAATCTCTGCCATAGATTTAATTGATATGGATATAAGTAAGATGTCAGAACTAGAATTCAGAATAAGATTATAAAGATACTAGCTGAGCTTGAGAAAAAGCATAAAAGACACTAGAGAATCCCTTACTTTAGAGATAAAAGAACTAAAATCTAATCAGGTGGAAATTAAAAATGCTTTAACTGAGATGCTCTCTAAAATGGACACTCTAACTGCTAGGGTAAATGAGGCAGAGAGAGTCAGTGACATAGTAGACAAAATGATGGAAGGTAAGGAAGCTGAGGAAAAGAGAAAAACAACTAATGGATCATGAGGTGAGGCTTCAAGAAATCAGCGATACCATAAGCGAAATAATATTAGAATAATTGGGTTCCCAGAGGAAGAAGAAAGAGAGAGAGGGACAGAATGTATATTTGAGCAAATCATAGCTGAAAACTTCCCTAATCTGGGTAAGGAAATAGACATTCAAGTCCAGGGGATACAGAGAACCCCCCTCAAAATCAATAAAAATAGATCCCCATCACGACATATAATAGTGAAGCTTGCAAATTTCAGAGATAAAGAGAAAATTCTGAAAGCAGCTTGAGACAAGAGGTCCTTAATATACAAGGGTAGAAACATTAGACTGGCAGCAGACCTATCCACAGAGAACTGGCAGTTCAGAAAGGGCTGGCATAATATACTCAGGGTACTAAATGAGAAAAACATGCAGCCAAGAAGACTTTATCCAGGAAGGCTGTCATTCAGAATGGAAGGAGAGATAAAGAGCTTCCAGGACAAACAGAAACAAAAAGAACTCATCATCACTAAACCAGCCCTGCAAGAAATATTAAAGGGGATCCTGTAAGTGAAGACAGAGCCCAAAAGTAACATAGACCAGAAAGAAACAGAGACAATATACAGACACAGCGACTTTATAGGAAATACATTGGCATTAAATTTATATATTTCAATAATTACTCTGAATGTAAATGGGCTAAATGCTCCAATGAAAAGACACAGGGTATCAGACTGGATAAAAAAGTAAGACCCATCCATACACTGTCTACAACAGACTCATTTTGGACCTGAAGACACCTCCAGGTTGAAAGTGAGGGGGTGGAGAACGGTGTATCATGCTAATGGACAGCAAAAGAAGGCTGTGGTGGCAATCCTTATATCAGACAAATTAGATTTTAAGCCAAAGACTGTAGTAAGGAATGAAGAGGGACATTATATCATACTTAAAGGTTCTATCCAATAAGAAGATCTAATAATTGAGTTTTAATCAGGAAAGGATGTTGTATTTTGTCAAATGCTTTTTCTGCATCAATTGAGAGGATCATATGGCTCTTGTCCTTTCTTTTATTAATGTGCTCTATCACATTGATTGATTTCCAAATGTTGAACCACCCTTGCCTCCCAGGAATAAATCCCACCTGGTCATGGTGAATAATCCTTTTACTGTAGTGTTGGATGCTATTGGCTAGGATCTCGTTGAGTTTTGGCATCCATGTTCATCAGGGA